TCAGGGCAGAGGGCTGGGAGGTGTGGGGGTGCAGGGCAGAAGGCTGGTTGTGGGGAGGAGTTCAGGGGTCAGGGCAGAGGGCTGGGGGTGTGTGGAGGTGCAGGGCAGAAGGCTGGGTGTGTGTGTGGGGGGTGCTCCCAGCCCCCTGCCCTCTGCCCTGAGTGGCTCATGGCAGGGGGCTGGAAGGGGTATGCCCTGTTCCACCCCCTTCCCCAAGGCCCCGACCCTACCTCTTCTCTGCTTCCTCTACGGAGCAGGGAGCACACTGCCGCTCCTCCCCCTCCCCCTCGCAAGGGCCATCAGCTGATCGGCAGCAGGGAGAGGGAGGAGAGGGGGAGGGGCAGGAAAGCACCACGCTGGGGGAAGAAGTGGGGGAGGGGGGAAGCTTGGCTGCCGCAGGACCAAGCTTCTGCCTCCTGCCCCCACAGGGGAGAGTGGTGGGCGGGGGGGCTGAGTGGGGCTGGGGGCCGGGACCGCGGCAGGCAGCAGTGTGCCAATCAAAATCGGCTCACGTGCCATGTTTGGCACGCATGCCGTAGGTTGCTGACCCCTGTACTAGTGGTACAGGGGCAGATTTAAAGTTGATTGAATGCTAATGAGTGAAACGGTTTCTGTGTATTGGTCCGTCTGTGAATTATGTGTTGGTTTCAAAGGGTTTGTCTATACAGCAATTAAGCACCTGTGGCTGGCCTATGTCCCCTGACTCCGGCTCACGAGGTTCGGGCTCGGGCTGGAGCCTGGGCTCTGCGACCCTCTCCCGTCACAGGGTCCCAGAGCCCAGGCCTCTGCCCAAGCCCGAGCATCTACACGGCAATTAAACAGCCCCAGTGCCCAAGCCCTGGGAGCCCAAGTCAGCTGTCATGGGCCAGCCACAGGTGTTTAATTGCTGTGTAAAACATCTCTGGGTCTGTCATGTAACCTTAGGTCATGTCCTTAGTTTTTAATGTTTGTGGTTATTTTTTAGTGAGGTGTGTAATGGTTTGTATTGGTCTGAATTGCACTTAGCCTCCTTAACTATAACTGAATAAAGTTTGTTTTCTTTTCATTTTGCTTTTGTGTTAGAACATTAACAATGTGAATATATCCCTAACCATGACAACATAACATTTTGTCTTTTTCACCCTTTTCTTCCTCTAGACTCTCTGTCGTTGAGACTGCGGGTGGAGAAAGGTAAATTTCTGGGATCAAAGAGGGAGCAAAAGCTTTCATATGAATTGGCAGCATGATAGTTCAGGTTATGTTTCAATTTTGCATTTGACAGGAGCTGAACACCGGGTTACTGGTGGCTACAGAGATCTTTCCTAAAAACAGAAAAGTAGATTCTTTTCTCTGTTAGAATTTAAATTAAGCCTCACTCGTGATCTCACCATAGAGCTGTGGCTGAAAAAAAATCCCGACATTTGAGAGTTCCAAAAATGAGGCTTAATTTTACTTAGAAATCCTGTCAACTGCCCTGGGCATGGCTGGGGCTCCCACTGTCACCACCCCAGTGCGGCTGCTCCCCTGGGAAGTGGGAGAGGGGACCCCACTCTAGCCCCCAGGCCTAGGGAGGGTGAAGAACCCTCGGAGGAGCAGAGGTGAGGCTGGGAGGGATTTATTATGGACTGGGGACTGCAGGGGGCCTGAAGTGAGCGGGGGGCTGATGGGCTGGGGGGGGGGCTGTATTGATGGTGGTTTCTGAGCAGATAGGTTGAGTGCTGGGAGGGTGAACTGAGGGCGGTGGGGTAGGGGTGTTGAACTGATGGGGGGTGATGATGGGGGCTGGGGGACTGAATTGCAGGGGGTTGGATGGGGACAGAACTGATGGGGGTCTGGGGGACAGGATTAATTGCTGGGCAGGAGATGGGCAGATGTGGCGGTGAGAGCTCCTGCAGCAGGAGCCAAAATCCCCTTTTCCAGGGCATGTGGGAGAGTGGGTAACACTGATTGTCACATGCGCACACCCTTGGGAGGGGCCAGGGGAGTTCAAACATCAAGAGACTGACCTAAAAACCACAATAGAATCCCTTTTAAAATGTCATGATTGTTGGGCCAATCTCCTGAGATTTGATCCCTTGAAGTTGGCAATACTGTATTAGCCATTGCATAGCCTTGGGGCCAGCAGTGGGGAGTTTGGAAAGTCCCTGATAGACCAGCACAAGACGAGCAGCCGTTCAGTAAGTGTGCGGTGTCCTCACCCACCCCGCAGCTACACAGAGTCATGGGGGGCCAGTGGGGTCTCTATAAAGGCAGGTTTTCTAGTGCTCAGCTGGCTGATCGTTAGGAGGGAGGGGGCTCTGCAAGGAGACGGGGTGTGAAGAGTTGCATCATTGGACAGAGGGACTTTGGATTCCCTGTAATCTGCTGGGAGCCTCCTATGATGCTGGGATCTCTAATCACATCTGTGAGGAGAGGTGGGTGCAGGTGGGGAAAGATTCCAGGGCCTGACTGTCAGGCCCTTTTATGCTGCTCTGGCAGAGCAAAGGGGCCTTAATGTGCCTGGAAACAGTCCCCAGAAAATAGCTCCAGTGCAAGGGAGCTATCCCCGTCCGTGTGCAATTGGCATAGGGCAGAGGTGGGCAAACTATGGCCCGTGGGCTACATCCAGCCCACGGGACCCTCCGGCCCGGCCCCTGAGCTCCTGGCCCGGGAGGCTACCCCTGGCCCCTCCCCCACTGTTCCCCCTCCCCCGCCTCAGCTCACTGCGCCACTGGCGCAATGCTCTGGGCGGCGGGGCTGCGAGCTCCTGGGGCAGCGCAGCTGCGGAGCCCGGCCTGACCCTGTGCTCTGTGCTGCGCGGTGGTGTGACTGGCTGTAGCCGGGCAGCGCGACTGTAGCGTCGCCAGCCACCGGTGCTCCAGGCATCGTGGGCAGGGAGCAGGGGGGGTTGGATAGAGTTCGGGGGTGGTGGTAATGAGGTAGGGGTGTGAATAGGGGTTGGGGCGGTCAGAGGACGGGGAACAGGGGGGTTGAATAGGGGCAGGGGTCCCAGGGGGCAGTCAGATTTGAGATGGGGGGTTGGATGGGGCACCAGGGGGCAGTAAGGAGCAGGGGTTCCAGTGACGGTCAGGGGACAGGGAGAAGGGGTGGTTGGATGGGGCAGTGGTCCCCGGGGGGCAGTCAGGGAACGGGGGGGGTTGGATGGGGCAGGAGTCCTGGGGGGGGCCGTCAGGGGGCAAGAAGTGGGTGGGGTAGATGGGGGGGGCTGGGCCATGCCTGGCTGTTTGAGGAAGCACAGCCTCCCCTAACTGGCCCTCCATACAATTTCCAAAACCCGATGCGGCCCTCAGGCCTAAAAGTTTGCCCACCCTTGGCATAGGGGCTCTACAGCAACTCTGCTCCCAGCCGATATTGTAGGAGTAGGTTGGGGTGCATGCTGGGGGCCAGGGCCGTCTCTAGGGGGTGCAGGGCCCGAGGCAGAAGTGACGGATTTGTTTCTTCTGGGACCGACTGGGCCAGCCAATCGCACCGGCCCACAGGGCCCCCCAAAGTGTGGGGCCTGGAGCAATCGCTCTGATTTGCCCTACCCAAGGGACGGCTCTGCTGGGGGCACAGACAGGATGCATCACACTATGGCTGCTCTCTGCTTTGCAGCCCTGAGGCCCCTGTAACTAGAAGCCAGGTAGACTAGAGGAAGGACAAAGGTGGCTTAAAACCACCTCCCTCTAACCCGCCTTGTCTTTCCCCCAAGCAAAAGGATGGAATCACTGAGACTCAGACGCTGGGTTTGGGGGCCTGGCCCAGCTGAGCTGATCCTTTTACTCTGTCACTGAACTGGCTCTGTCAGGGGTGTGAATCCCCCCTGCACATGGCTGAGATCTCAGCACTGCTCCCCATGCAGAGCTGGGTAGATCCTGGAGGCAGGAGGTTGCCTGAGTCACTCCCCAGCTGGGGCAGGTTCTGTCACTGACACGATCAGACCCTGCCACAGGGCTGAGCTCTGCCCCTCACGCTCTGATTCTCTCTCTGCAGCGAACATGACTCTGGATCCAGACACGGCCCATCGCAACCTCATCGTGTCTGCGGATCGGAGAAGTGTGAGATGGGGAGACACACGGCAGGCTCTGCCCAACAACCCTGAGAGATTTGACACTGAGTTCTGTGTGCTGGGCTGTGCGGGATTCACCTCGGGCAGACATTACTGGGAGGTGGAGGTGGAGGGCGGGGGACTCTGGTCTGTGGGGGTGGCCCGAGAGTCTGTGAGCAGGAAGGGAGAGATCAGCGTTAACCCTGAGCAGGGGATCTGGGCTGTGCAGTGCTGGGAGGATCAGTACTGGGCTCTCACGTCCCCTCAGCAGCTCATCCCCTTCTCCCCGAGCCGGGCACTCCGCAGGATCTGGGTTTATCTGGACTATGAAGGGGGGCAGGTGACGTTTTTCGATGCTGGTCATGGGGACCCGATCTTCACTTTCCCGACGGCCTCTTTCGCCAGGGAGAGAATCCGCCCGTTCTTCTGGGTGGGTCTTGCGGGAAACTCTTCTGTGCTCGGTTCCAAGCACTATTTCGCTCTCCTGGACCAATGCTCCCACCTCACACTGTGTCCGTGAGGTGCCCTGTCTGTGCCCATGTAACAGGCTCCTGTAGCCCCAACCCTCCTTATCTCTATGACCTGGAGGATTCAGCCAGTCTCCTGCCACACAGACAGAGCTGAAGGGGAGTGATGCTCTACCCATAGCTCGAGGGCTGTGTGAGGCGCTCTAGGCTGGGTCTCTATGCTCCTAGGAGGCCAGCTGAGGGCTTGGCTACACTCGGGACTTCACAGCGCTGCCGCGCGAGTGTAGTTGCGCCGCCAGCGCTCCGAGAGAGCTCTCGCAGCGGTGTATGTACTCCACCTCTCCGAGGGGAGTAGCTTGCAGCACTGCGAGCGAGCGTGCAGCGCTGCAGACACTGATTACACTGGCGCGTTACAGCGTTGCACTCGCTGCGCTCGGGGGGGTGTTTTTTCACACCCCTGAGTGCAGCAAGTGCAGCGCTGTACAGCGCCAGTGTAGCCAAAGCCTCAGTATGGAGTGGGGGGGGTCCCACTAAGGAAGGAGGGAACCCCTGTGGGAGGGACCCAGGTGACGGCCAGGGAGAGACCCCTCAACTGGGGGGAGGGGAGCGGTGGGAGGCCTGGCTGAAGGGGCTGGGGGGGGGGGGGGAGGGAGGGGGGGGGGAGGGGAGGGCGGGGAGGAGGCCTGGCTGGGGGGAGGTGCAAGCGGGGGCTGGGAGGCCTGGCTAACGAGGCTGAGGGGGGAGAGCAGAGAGCTGGGGGGAGGCCTGGCTGAAGAGGCTCAGAAGAGGGGGGGGAGGCCTGGGTGAAGAAGCTGCGGGGGGGACGGATGACAGGGGGTGTTTAAAATTGTCTTAGCTGATTGTTATTTAGCCACAAGCAGCTAATATATATTTAAATACAACTGTTAGTGTGTGTACGAGGTGTGAAGGCTGGAATTTTCAAAAGAACCAAAGTGCCGTAAGACTCCTTGATTTTCAATGGAACTTGTGCTGCTAAGTAACTTCAGATGCATTTTCAAAAGCACCTAAGCCATGTTTACCATTGTGTTAGTCTTAACGTGTTAATATATTTTCTAGAATAATGAATTTCCCCTGTGTAGGGAAACTGCTTGTGTTCCCCTGTTCACCTTATTAAAGTCCCCCAGTAAATGAACCTGAGAGGGCAATTTGTCTATTAAACCTTTCTGGAAAGCTCTGGTTTGCTGTGGGAGGTGTATTTTGAGACAGAAACAAAAGGTTGGTTTCCATATGAATTTTACCAAAACTAAAATGAACAGAG